TGTCTGTGTGTGTGTGTGTGTGTGTGTGTGTGTGTGTGTGTGTGTGTGTGTGTGTGTGTGTGTGTGTGTGTGTGTGTGTGTGTGTGTGTGTGTGTGTGTGTGTGTGTGTGTGTGGGCTCAGAACAGTCTTATAATACACACATGCAAACAGAAGGATCCACACTTGTGTTTTTCAATGCACACACAAATGTGTTCCGTTTCAAATACATGTAAATAAAATCCAAATACAGAGAAAAGTTTTACATGTGTATTTTTGATCCTCACATATTAGTTTTCCGTTGAAATCCCCTGCACCTGCAAACACAAACCGCTTTCTGTGCACGGATCGCTGTGCATTCGTGTGTGGGTTTTTTAGACTCCCCTGACGGTCAGCCGATACTTGTAATTTTTTCTATCTATAGCCAATCAGATGTCTCCTCCATTCTAAGCCAATCACATGAGCGCGCCCCCACGAGGGTAGATTTCTTGCGTTCATGACGTAGCGCTTCATATATGCATTTTGCGCAGTCCGGAGCTGACAGCTCCATGGAGCCTGCCTGCAGGCGCTAATCTCAGGACCGAAGGACCGTAGTATAGTCGTCTTTATTTTTACGTTATTATTATTCAAAGATAAATAAGGAAGTGTGTGTTAGATGAGATGGCAGAGAGGTTTCAGCTCCGATTATTAAATCAAAGAGGCTTAATGTTTTAGATTATATTATTTCACTATAGCTATGTGGACGGTGGCAAGGTCCAAAGTTGACAAAATTAATCAATAGCGGGTGTAACAAAAATACAAGATGTTTTTATTTATACATATATTATTATTATGTATAAATAAAAACATCTTGTATTTTTTATTTATACATATATTATTATTACCTCTCTGAAGAACCAGCACCTTACCGTGGTAGAGAGGTTTGTGTGCCCTGATGAACCTGGGGGCTGTGTTGTCTGGAACCTTGTGTTCCTGGTAGGGTCTCCCATGGCAAATTGGTCTCAGGCAAGGGGCCAGACTAAGATTGGTTCAAAAGACCTCATGAAAGAAAAACTAAGAAGTGAGGATACCCGGCCCGGAGGAAGCCCGGGGTCCCCTTCTGGAGCCAGGCCCAGAAGGAGGACTCGTCGGCGAGCGTCTGGTGGCCGGGCTTGCCACGGAGCCCGGCCGGGCCCAGCCCGAAAAGGCAACGTGGGCAACACCTCCGCTTCTCCGTCCCGCGGGCCCACCACCTACGGGAAACATCGATGGGGTCGGGTGCGCTGCCAGAAGGGTGGCAGTGAAAGCGGAGGGTCTCGACGGACCAGACCCGGGCGACAGAAGCTGGCTTTGGGGACGTGGAACGTCACCTCTCTGGGGGGGAAGGAGCCGGAGCTTGTGCGGGAGGTGGAGCGTTACCAGTTGGATCTGGTTGGGCTCACCTCTACGCACAGCGTCGGCTCTGGAACCTTACTTCTGGATAGGGGTTGGACTCTATTCTTCTCCGGAGTTGCTCAAGGTGTGAGGCGCCGGGCGGGTGTGGGGATACTCACAAGTCCCCGGTTAGGTGCTTCGTTGTTGGAGTTTACCCCAGTGGACGAGAGGGTCGCCTCCCTACGCCTGCGGGTTATGGGGGGGAAAACTCTGACTGTTGTGTGTGCTTATGCACCCAACAGCAGTTCAGAGTATACGGCCTTCTTGGAGACCCTGGAAAGAGTCCTGTATGGGGCTCCTGAAGGGGACTCTTTAATCTTGCTGGGAGACTTCAACGCACATGTGGGCAATGATGGAGACACTTGGAGGGGCGTGATTGGGAGGAACGGCCCCCCTGATCTGAACCGGAGTGGTGCTTTGTTACTGGACTTCTGTGCTAGTCATGGATTGGCCATAACAAACACCATGTTCGAACATAAGGATGCTCATAAGTGTACGTGGTACCAGAGCACCCTAGGCAGAAGGTCCATGATCGATTTCGTTATCGTATCATCGGACCTGAGGCCGTATGTTTTGGACACTCGGGTAAAGAGAGGGGCGGAGTTGTCAACTGATCACCATCTGGTGGTGAGTTGGGTCGAGTGGCGGGGGAAGCCTCTGGATAGACCTGGTAAGCCCAAACGTGTAGTTCGGGTGAACTGGGAACGTCTGGAGGAGGCCCAAGTTCAGGAGGCCTTCAACTCACACCTCCGGCGGAGCTTTTCGGGCATTCCTGTGGAGGTTGGGGACATTGAACCAGAGTGGTCGGTGTTCAAAGCCTCTATTGCCGAAGCCGCGGCGGGGAGCTGTGGTCTCAAGGTCCTAGGTGCCTCAAGGGGCGGTAACCCTCGAACCTCCTGGTGGACACCGGTGGTCAGGGAAGCCGTCCGACTGAAGAAGGAGGCCTTCAGGGATTTGTTATCCCGGGGGACTCCCGAGGCAGTTGCAAGGTACCGACAGGCCCGAAGGGCAGCAGCCTCATCCGTGGCCGAGGCAAAGCAGCGGGTGTGGGAGAAGTTCGGAGAAGACATGGAGAAGGACTTTCGGGCGGCACCAAAGTTGTTCTGGAAAACTGTCCGACACCTCAGGAGGGGGAAGCAGGGAACCATCCAAGCTGTGTACAGTAAGGATGGGACGTTGTTGACCTCAACTGATGGAGTGTTAGGGCGTTGGAAGGAACACTTTGAGGAACTCCTGAACCCGACAACTCCGCCCTCTATGTTAGAGGCAGAGCTGGAGTATGACGGGGGATCAACACCAATCTCCCGGGGGGAGGTCACTGAGGTCGTCAAACAACTCCACAGTGGCAAAGCCCCGGGGGTGGATGAGATCCGCCCGGAAATGCTGAAGGCTCTGGGTGTTGAGGGACTGTCATGGTTGACACGTCTCATCAACGTTGCGTGGAAGTCGGAAACAGTACCGAAGGAGTGGCAGACCGGGGTGGTGGTCCCCCTTTTTAAAAAGGGGGATCAGAGGGTGTGTGCCAATTACAGAGGCATCACACTACTCAGCCTCCCCGGGAAAGTTTACTCTAAGGTACTCGAAAGGAGGGTCAGGCCGATTGTCGAACCTCAGATTGAGGAGGAACAATGCGGATTCCGTCCTGGTCGTGGAACGACGGATCAGCTTTTTACTCTCACAAGGATCCTGGAGGGGGCCTGGGAATACGCTTATCCGGTCTACATGTGTTTTGTAGACTTGGAGAAGGCGTATGACCGAGTTCCCAGGGAGTTACTGTGGGAGGTGCTGCGGGAGTATGGGGTGAGGGGGTCTCTACTCAGGGCCATCCAATCTCTGTACTCCCAAAGCGAGAGCTGTGTCCGGGTCCTCGGCAGTAAGTCGGACCCATTTCCGTTGAGGGTTGGCCTCCGCCAGGGCTGCGCTTTGTCACCAATCCTGTTTGTAATATACATGGATCGGATTTCGAGGCGTAGTCATGGGGGGGGGGTCTGCAGTTCGGTGGACTAAGGATTGCACCACTGCTTTTTGCAGATGATGTGGTTCTAATGGCTTCATCGGTCTGCGACCTTCAGCACTCACTGGATCGGTTCGCAACCGAGTGTGAAGCGGCTGGGATGAGGATCAGCACCTCCAAATCTGAGGCCATGGTTCTCAGCAGGAAACCGATGGACTGTCCACTTCAAGTAGGGAATGAGTCCTTACCCCAAGTGAAGGAGTTCAAGTATCTCGGGGTCTTGTTCTCGAGTGAGGGAACAATGGAGCGTGAGATGGGCCGGAGAATCGGAGCAGCGGGAGCGGTACTGCAGTCGCTTTACCGCACCGTTGTGACGAAAAGGGAGCTGAGCCAGAAGGCAAAGCTCTCTGTCTACCGGGCCATTTTCGTTCCTACCCTCACCTATGGTCATGAAGGATGGGTCATGACCGAAAGAACGAGATCGCGGATACAAGCGGCCGAGATGGGTTTTCTCCGCAGGGTGGCTGGTGTCTCCCTTAGGGATAAGGTGAGAAGTTCGGTCATCAGGGAGGGACTCGGAGTTGAGCCGCTCCTCCTTCGCGTCGAAAGGAGCCAGTTGAGGTGGTTCGGGCACCTAGTTAGGATGCCACCTGGGCGCCTCCCTAGGGAGGTGTTCCAGGCACGTCCAGCTGGGAAGAGACCAAGGGGTAGACCTAGGACCAGGTGGAGGGATTATATCTCTTCGCTGGCCTGGGAGCGCCTTGGGATCCCCCAGTCAGAGCTGGTTGATGTCGCCAGGGAAAAGAAAGTTTGGGGCTCTCTGCTGGAACTGCTACCCCCGCGACCCGACCACGGATAAGCGGAAGAAGATGGATGGATGGATATTATTATTATTAATAATAATAATAATATAAAATATTTTATTTGCGTGCATTACCTGTTTGGAAAGTGGCGCTGTACTGAGAGTGGCGATTTTATTTTGTAATTATATAATACTTGTAATAATGGTGCGTTCACACCGGACGCGATGCGAATAATCGTTCGAGTTTCTTGCCAACTGTCAGCTGTGTTTACTCGCCTCATTCATCTGAGTCAGCTTCTTGAGCCGTATCTGGCTGTGCAACACTTATACTGTATGCCGAAGCAGTGGCGGACTGGCCATCGGGACGTACCGAAGTGGGCCGGTCGGGCCACTCCGATCGGCCCACTTCGGTACCGGCAGGGGCGGACTGGCCATCTGAAGTTGCTTTGACAGCGTCACCGTTTCCCCGCAGGCTCCCCCCGTTGACAGTTCACTGTAGCACCCACGGGAAGTGGCGCTGTACCCTAATAATATAAAAGCTTGTATTTACGTGCATTTCCTGTTCGGAAAGTGGCGCTGTACTGAGAGTGGACCTGTCAGCTCCGGACAGCGCAACATGCGTAAATGAAGCGCTACGTTTTAAACGGAAAACAAATATGTGAGGATCAAAAATACATATGTAAATCTTTTTTCTGTATTTGGATTTTATTTACATGTATATGAAACGGAACACATTTGTGTGTGCTTTGAAAAACACAAGCGTGAATCCTTCTGTGTGCACGTGTGTATTATGAGACTGTTCTGAGCCCATATTTGTGTGTGTGTGTGTGTGTGTGTGTGTGTGTGACACTCACCTGGAACATGTCTGTGTTGGTGTCATGTGTGTACTCCACGATGACAGAGTGGCTCCGGGACAGTGTGTAGGAGATGCTGTGCTGGCTTTTGTTGCTGAGCGCCTGCCAATGGAAAACACATCATCCTGGTCACATGACAAGGAGAGCTGAAGGTCTGCCCCCCCCCGCAGAATCTACCCAGAGGACACTTCCTGTTCCACAGGGACAGCCCCAGATCTAATTAAAATGACTCCTATCGTTTTATAACTGATTTATTGTCATGATGGAGAGATCAATATGTACAGTAAGTGATCATTCTGCAGCAGCACTTATTATGGTTTGGCTCATTGAAAGCTGATGCACCTGCAGGATTCCTGTTTGTATCTTCATGGTTTAGTGCACTTTGGATAAAAGCGTGAGCTAAATGTAATGTCAATTAATTATAATTCAGCACAGAGGCGCTAACGTCAGCATGCTAACATTTACAATGACAATGCTAACGTACCATTTGTAAATGTAATCCATCCAAAGCAAATATTACAAGGCTTCATAATTCAGCAGAGACAACATTTAAATGTTTCCCTTGATAAGTAAAATAAAAACCAATATTCATTTATTATTGTATCCCTCCTATTTGCCAGCACCTGAAATGCACACAATAGGAGGAAGAACATGAATGTGTTTAGCTACTTGTTAATTCACCATCCTCACTATGATTTTTTAAATGTATATTGATCCTTCAGAAATGTTTGTTATGTCCCCTTGGGGTCTCATTGTAGAAAAAATGGTTATGTTTAAAACCGTGCGCAGATAATCTCCCATCTGGAATACCGTCTTCTGCATAGTGGACTTTATGTTCTCCCACAAAGACAGTTAGTGCTGAATTACATGTGGTGGGGGGGGGCACTTTTGAAAGTTTTTCAGTCACTTTGTTCTCTTTTTATTGGTGTATAGTTTCTTCTGCATTGTGCTGAGATGTCCCGCTACACTGCAGAGTCTTTATTATATTTTATGACAACCCATTGTCTATGTATGGTACTCTGTAAATCTGATATGAACACCCTGCACTTTGTATCCTTTTACCTGCTGTTGTATCACTATAACGTTTCTTAGGGGAACCTATAATGGGCCTGTGGTGCTGAATAGTGGCTGTTTTATCTATTATATGCACTGTAATATGCCTACTGGGAGTTTTATCCAATCATGCAGTGTAGTGATTTTTAAGTGTATATTGTCCATATTATTACTATATAGTACATTTGTATTCTCTGTTGTACAGTATATACATGAGAGCAACCCATCTGGGTGCTTTCCCTCTGCGTCATGGCCGTGTTTCTTTTTGGGTGAGACGTTTGCTGTCATTTGACTGCCGGTAAATACAGATTCTGAGGTTTCCCTAGTCTGATCAAAAAGTGTATAGAACAGTGCATTTTTTGCCCAAATACAATGGTCAGCATCATTATGGTGAAATCAAAATCAATATTCAATCAATGTCCTCTTAGACTGGGGAGGGGGCAGCACTGGGATTTCCTTGGCTTGTCAGTGTTTCATATTTGAATGCAGCATTCTACATGTAATACTTGAGAGACCATTCTTTATGGACCTTTACTTTGACCTTCCTTTTGTCTAAGTTACATTAAAGAAAGTCGTAACTTTGGATCTTTTTGTTGTTTGACGTGTAATACACAACATCTTTGAGGCATGATAAAAAAACAAATGTCTGCTTGGTGCAGATTCTTTGTTTTCACCGTAAAAAGGGCGGGGTGACGTAGCGCTGCTCTCATCTATTGATTTTGGAGTCAATAGTTTTAGCACACAGTCAAAGTGCTGTTATATTCATTTATTTATATGTTTATTGCTTTAGTTCAATAACATTGGTTGATGTCCCAGAATGTGTCAGTTCTCAGAAGAAGTTAGTTTGGTAGAAGTACCAATACCAACATATTTGAATAATTACTCCATAAGTCAACTAATGTAAGTATTCCGCGCGCATGGATTTGTAAACTATGCAGTTTGATTCACAATCCTTGAGTGCCATATACAATCCCATATCATGGATTAACAAATCAAGGCTTTTTTTCTACCATGTGACCCAAGAGGAGCTCTAAATAATGTTTTTACATTCGTATGTTGCTATTACAGAGGGAATAGGCACTCTACATTGACTAAATTGACTAAAATCGAGGGCTGGCATCCAGCAGGAATTAAAAAGAAACAGCTCTACGTTACTTCAGTAAAAGTACAAATTCTTCCGTCCCTGAAAATAGCATCAGTTTTCTTTCATCCTGGCCCAGGGAAACCTCCTCCTCAGTTTGAATGTGCACCTTAACTTTAATGATAAAGCTGTGATCCTTCACCTTGGACACCAGCGGGGTGGAGACATTGTGGATGACGTCAGGTTTGACCCCATTAGCTTTGGGTCTCTTATAGAGGGCCAGGCGACTTCTTCTGCGGCCCTTGTCCCCGTTGGCCAGGGACCCATTGTGCCTGTGAAACAGAAGAAATGTTACGTACTTTCCTCTAGATGTTATCTAATCAAAAGACATAGGAGTTAATGATCCCCTTTTTATGTCCTCACATTGATCCCATGGACAGATAATCAGTGGTGGGAGAAGTATTCAGATGTTTACTTGAGTAAAAGTACCAATACATTTTGTCAAAATACTTAAAGGTGGGGTATGTAAGTTTGAGAAACCGGCTCGAGATACACTTTTTGTTATATTCCATGGAATGCTCTTAACATCCCGATAGCAATGAATATCTGAAGTGCTTTGACAAAAAATCCATAAAACATTTCATCTCTGGAAGCCGTGGTACTGTAAAAAGCACGACCAATCATCTGAGCCGGCTAAAGTAACTGGATGGCCTACCTGCCTGTCAGCCTTCCATCTGTGCACAAACTTATCTCGTGCCCTCATTGGTCATGTGCGCGTTCGTGTGTGTTGGAGGAGGGGCTCTGTGAGGAAGTGGCAGATTTTTTCCGGTTGTGTATTTTCAAATTCTAGCGCAATCGAGCTGGTTTCTCCAAAATTACCTACCCCACCTTTAATTACAAGTAAAGGTCCTGCATTCAAAATCTTACTTAAGTAAGAGTATTATCAGCAAAATGTACTTACAAATATAAAAAGTAAAAGTAATCATTGTGCAGTGAAATGGCCTAATGTGTGTATATAATATTAATATATGTGACATTTCTAGATAATATTGTTGCATCAAGCAGCATTTTACAAACAAAGTTCTGATTGACTTTTTGTAAAATATTTAAATAATTTGACTCTTTTGTGACTTAAAGAGTTAGTCCACTAGGTTAATGTTGAGAGATGCATTTGTTAAAAGTAACTAAAGCTGTTTAATAAATGTAGTAGAGTATAAAGTAGCATAAAATAGAAACATTTGAGTAAATAAAATTGTACTTAAGTACAGTACTTGTGTAAATGTAATTCCACCTCTGCTTACTTTCATTATGGTTAAGTTAGATTGATATGAAATACATTTACTTTCCTAACTAGTTTTTACTTTTTGTTCCCAATAACGGATTGCTGTGTCTAAACTGGAAGAGCCATATTCATGTAGTGGATACTCAAATATGATATCCTTTGATTTATTTTGAGACTGGGTGAACTATCCAGTGTTACCGTCCATGAGTAAGCCACATCATGCTGCATTCATGATGACAACACTCTCCAGTTCTGCTGACGGCAGAGAAGCCATGATTGGATGGATGTTGTAAAATGTCACAGGCAGGTTATCCCCCCCCCTCCCCCCCTCATCATCCATCAAGTGTTCATCCTCCAGTGCATGGATCAATAGGTGAGGAGTGGAAGCATATGTGGCTCTGTGGTAAAGATGTCCTTTTCTTTTTTTCACAAGCAATGTATAACCTCTCTGTTTGGTGTTTTTCATGGAGGTTAGCATTGTGGCTCAGTTTGTGGATGCAGGGGCGGATCTAGAAAAAATATTCATGGGGTGGCAAGAGGGTGGCAGGAGATTTTGAGGGGTGGCATCCCCTGGCAGATGTATATGCTGATTTAATCGCAGTCATATCAATCAATGTTAACTTGGAAAGCCACAATATTAATATTTTAACTCAATAATGACATTATTGTGGCACATCAGTAAAGCCTTACATATAAATATATAAGGTGGCAGACATCATTTAATGAATTTTAAATGAAGAATAACTGAATGAGTTTGTTTCACTCTTAGACCAGCAGGGGTACCAAATGTATGCAGACTGCTGCAATAAGTACATGAATTAACTGTCTCATCGATGTTTGTCTGAATTAATATGATAATATTAACAATCATATTATTCCTATCAGCTGTCAATCACTGTTATGATTCACATATTCAGTGTTATTATTGAATAAACTATATTTTCTAGTTATTGATGAATGTTCCTCAAGATGCTTGCTCACCCTCCTTCAAATTTGAAAGACAAGTAATTATATCATGTATCAAAACTCAAAAGATTCAAAGGAACAGTTCAGTGCCCCACAAGTTCATTGCCAACAGTTACAACCTTGACTTTACATCAGAAAGAACAAACATTAAAGAAGTGACTAACTGCATCAGTTAGGGTTAAAACGTGTATTCAGCTAAAACATATACTCTCACAAACTTATTCAGATCAACAGCTTTAGTGCATTTTGATTCAATGCTGAGTACAGCCAAACTTGACAGGCTCTTCTCTGTCATTGTAGACCACAAATACCTCATTCCTTCCGTGTACTTGAGTCAGAATGCTTCTCGTTTTGCACGGTCCCGTTCGAATGAAATCGCCGCCAATCACATTTCCACGCTCGCGCCAGGGCCGGGGGAGGGGTTACAAGACTCGCGTCGTGTGCTGCATTCACTTGCACTCGGACATTAGAGACTTTCTCTCATAAATCTCCGATGAGCCACAACTTTTCTTTCAAAACAAAGCTGCCAACTGGGGTGGCAGCTGGGGTGGCAAGGCCTATTTTTAAGGTGGCAGTTGCCACCCCATGCCACCCCTGTGTGGATGGCATCTTTCTGTGAAGTCAAATAACCTATTTTGCCTTTTAGTAACTGTCTCCATAGGCGTCATTTAAACTGGGGACGCTCGGGACATGTCCCCACTGTTGGGGAAATATTTTCCAAGGCCCATAACTTTGACCCAGTTGAGTTCAAAGTGTCCTGACTGAGCACATGCACCTGTAACCTTGGCTGCTGTGCTCTCAGTGTGTTGTCTTCCTGTTCCTGCCTGTTGGCGTCAGCTGATAGAGGTGTTACGGCCCGTCCACACAGCGGCGTGCATTGAAGCTTCCAACACTTCTGCCCATTCACTTTGAATCGGGTGACGTCACTTTTAGCCGAACTGCATTTTGGGAAGCGACGTGGAGCGTTGCTGGCGTTGCTCGCTTCAAAAGTTGAACAATGTTCAACTTTTGACGCCTCGACGGAGGCGTCAGCCAATCGAATCATATGCCAGTACAAGCTCTAGCCAATCAAACCGCGTGCTTGTGTGTCTGGGGCGGGAGATTCATGTGATTGGTTGTTGGTCGAGTGTCAGACACGCCCGCCGGCAAGCGTCAACGCACGCCGCTGTGTGGACGGGCCGTTATGATTCTATCTTGTTATGCACAATGTTGATTATTCTCTCTGAACTAGCTAAATACATGGGTCTAGGGTTGAGTTCTTCAGAATTGACGTGGCAACTCCACCGTGAAGTCAGAACCTCTGACTCTTGGACTTGTTTTGTGAATTCTCCGGCCGAAGCTCCAAATAAACCATCAGTGTTTGACATCAGAGCTCCAGCTCTCCCCGTGTCTTTGAGTCGGTGACTCCTCCTGCATTGCTACACAGAAGTTTCCCCCACACCCACCACTTTTGGAAATGGACAATTTTGTCCCCACCATTTTGCATAATGGTAATTATTTAAAAATCTTCGGAAAATGCCGTGCACAAAGAATTGTACACTTTGGGAAAGGTTTATTAGCACAAGAGAACATGTCAAATCTGGAGGACTGTTCACACTTTCTGGGTGCATTTCTGGTTACCCCTGTGGTGCAGTTTGGACCTGCGACACGTTTAATATTAATAATAATTGAGTAGAGAATAAAATAGCAATTGTTGCTCCCGCTTTGCAGCAGCGTAGCACTAGTTGTCAAAAAAAGTATTGTAAGAATACAGTATGTATTGTATGTAAACAGTATATGTATGTCTTTTTTACAGGGGGCGGTTAATGCAGTGGTGTTTTTTAAATCTCAAAAGTGTCCCCACCACTTTTCCTAACAAAGTGCCCATGACTGTCTCAAATAAGGTATTTTCCAATAGACTGGGCACATGATTTAATTCATCTCAACAGGCCCCACCTTGTCTAACAGAATAAACCAAGAGAGCAGTGAGAGGGTTATATTGTGATGGCAACTGGTTCAAGAAGAACAAGCACAAACATAAGAGTATTTGTTTAATCAAGCATAGCCTAATAAAGTGTGGTCTTTGATGCTGTAGTTGAGGGACGTCAATCGGACAAGCATCTGAGCCACTGATTACCCTGCAGTGGTAGAAAATAAATAACTTTTTGTTTTTGTTCAAGATCAAGATAAAGCTTATAGTTAGGGCTGATTAGATTCAGCCCCTAGTTTTGCTGCTATAGGCTTAGTTTGTCGGGGGACATCTTACTTCTTCCTTCTCTCTGTCTATACCTGTGTACTCTCATGTTCCGATTAACCCAGCTTCCCCAAATGTCTTTCTTTTTGGTGTCTATATACGTTGGGATCCGGAGTCATGGATGATCCTGCAGTCCTGTGTCCTGGATCGCGAGCCCTGGATCTTGAGTCGTGGCTGTGGTCCTGGATCATAAGTCCTGGATGGATATCCTCGTGGATTCATCTTCCTATTATACACACATGCATTTCCAAACATTTGGACTACCTATGTTGCAAATGTATTATCTTTTCAATTTACACACGGCATCTATTGCACGTCTGTCCGTCCTGGGAGAGGGATCCCTCCTCTGTTGCTCTCCCTGAGGTTTCTCCCATTTTCCCTTTAAACTGTGGGTTTTCTCCGGAAGTTTTTCCTTGCACAATGTGAGGGTCTAATGATAGAGGGTCTAAGGACAGAGGGTCTAAGGACAGAGGATCTAAGGACAGAGGGTCTAAGGACAGAGGGTGTCGTATTGTCATACTGATATTCTGTACACACTGTGAAGTCCACTGAGACAAATGTAACATTTGTGATATTGGGCTATATAAATAAACATTGATTGATTGATTGATTGATAAACCAAATGTTGCTTTTTCACAGTGGAATATTTTACTTATTGTTGATGATTATTATTTTATGGCTTTAACCCTAACCCTAACCCTAGTCAGATGCCTTGACATCCTGGAGTCTCAGTCGTCGTTGTGAGGATGAACCACACTCCATTAAATTAAAAAAAATGCCAGCTGTAGCCTTATATTTAACAGACAGATGTAGACGTTAGTAATCACTACATTCAGCTCTTTAACAGAAAGTGGTGTCTTTCTTTTAAAGCGTGTGTTTGTCCCATCAACTTAAAGATTTTTCTGTGCAGTCTTCTTTGATTCTGAAAACATGAATGATGACCTTTCTGACTCTAAGGCCAATCATCTCATAGTCTGTCAGTTCTCTTCTCTCAGAATGTAAACATAAATGTGCCCTTACATAAATCTGCATATGCAAAACATATGCATATGTCCTGTGGAATACAGGTTTGGCTTTGTTCATTGGCTGGACACTGAAGGACTTTGTATGGAAAAGTAGCGCATGGATAGATAATGCAAAATCCTCACTAATCTGGTTAAGGCCCCGTCCAGACGGAGACGGAAATGAAAACGAACCGATGTCGATATCAAAAAAGTCTTCCGTCCACACGGAATCGGCTCAAGAAACGTGTCCGTCCACAAGAGACCGCTCGACCCGCTGGAGGCGCTGTAGTACATATGCCGAGCCTGTAAGTGGCGCTGTACTTCCGCTACAAAATACACCAAAAGCAGCGAATAAGCCCCCCCGAGCATGGTTGCCTGGTTGCCCTTCTGGTTATTCTCCTCGTGGATTTAGCAACATGTAGTTCATGTAGTTCTCCATGTCCACTTGTTGCTGATGGTTATGGTAGAGGAGCTGTAGATGTTGCACTAACATCTGTAGCATGGTCAGTAGCGTCTGCAGCACGAACGCAACCCTGTGATCCGCCATTGTTGTTGTTGGCGAAACGCATCAGCAATGACGCGGGTGACGCGGGGGTGAGCAGGAGAGGTGGGGAGAGGCGGGGCTATGATCGTTTAGGGCGTACACACGGTGCCGCAAGCGTTACGTTACCAGACCTTCCCACTTTGGGATGCGTTATCGTTTGAGGGCTCCGTTTCCGCAGTTCCGTTACGGCCTCGTGGGAAGAACCGTCCATACGATAAAGAAGTATAGCGGATAACACCCGTTTCGTCTCCGTGTGGACGGGGCCTTAGATGTGTCCTGGGTCAGGGTCCTATAACACACACTGCTATATGACTCACACTAAGCAAACATATAGGCAGGCTTGGGGAGTAACAGATTACATGTAATGGGATTACGTAATCAGGATGCAAAAAAAAAGGGAACTGTATTTCCTTACAGTTACATACAAAAAGATGTAATGAGATTGCTGTTACATTTCTACGATTACTAGCAGGATAACAATGTTAAAATACACTGAAAAAACTGAAACATTGACTTTAATTAAATGTATTATGTCAACAAATTTCACCTAAATGTATTTAGTTTTTTCAGTGTACATTTAAAAAAATGTAAATGAATATATTATAGGTAGAAGTACTCCCTGCATTTTCTTTATGGTTTACATTAAGGCTACTTTCATTCTTTTTTAATTATATATTATTTCAATGCAGTTTGTGGACACCTGATTTATTAACTAAATGACTATTTACTTTTAATTCAAATTAAAACAGCATTTGTAAACTGTACTGTTCTATAATATAAGAGGACACATTTTTTATCTTACATTTAAAATATCTTTGTTTCTTCTTTTCTAAAGTCACATTGTTCTATTGTCTTATACAATACACTTAAAAACATATTATTATTAATTATTTTCTCTTGTATTTATTTGCATTGCATTTGATATTGAGGTAATCCAGAAGTAACAGAAAGTAATCAGGTTAGATTACTTTTATATTGTGATACTCAGCTTAAGTTACTGATACATTGTATTAAAGGTAATAATTGTAACATATTACATTTATAAAGTAACCCTCCCAACCGTACATATAGACGTTGTACATCAGCAGAAATGTCTCTCGATGGACTCACCCTAAGACGATGAGCTCGCCGTACTTGACGGGCTCCTTGTCCTCGGGGAGAAAGACTCCGTCGTGGGGGTGGAGCTGGAGCCCAGGGGGGGCGAGGGCTGGCTCTTGTTGCAGGATGGCGCAGCTCAGAGATGGGGGGGGACAACAGCGCCTCTGAGCTACCCTCCAAACCATGCCCACCGGCACAACTGGGGCTCGCTGCTAGGGGGGGGAGAGAGGAGAGAGAAGAGAGAGAGAGAGGAGAGAGAGAGAGAGAGAGAGAGAGAGAGAGAGGAGAGAGAGAGAGAGAGAGAGGTAGATGAGAGAGAGAGAGAGAGAAGAGAGAGAGAGAGAGAGAGAGAGAGTAGAACACTTGATTTGCTGATGAGAGTCAGAGTAGTGGGATACATCTGCACATTATGCTGCTTATTACACGGCCACATACTAAATAAACGAACGACTTGACTCCAAATATTAATTGAAAATGATTTTATCTACTTAAATATTATTGTATTGCTTCTGCTAAGAAGAAACACTTTGTTCGCACCAACGGCTGGAACTGCAACAACAACAACAACAACAACAACAACAACAACAACAACAACAACAACAACGTTACTTAAAATGAGGGCAGCACTGATCGAGGTGTTCTGTAACTGTCTAATCAGTTCACAGTTTCTGTTCCACTAACAGTAAGTCTTTACTTCCTGTCTGTCTTCTTCTGCTGTTCTTGTGAGTGTTTACTTCCTGTCTGCCTTCTTCTGTGGATTTATCTGACGTCCAAGGCCGTATCTCATTTCTCTAACTCCCTCGACTCCCCTCCTCGACTCCTATCCTCGTGTCTTAGTCCCGCCCGCAGGAGATGCGAGCGGAGGACTGAGGAGGGGAACCGAGGAGAGAGGAGTGGAAGCAGCAGGCGGTTAGAGAAATGAGAACTCCTCTCCTCTGAGCGGTCATTTTAAAGAGACGTCCATTAATGATGACAGGAGGCACAGCAGCCCTCTGTCTAATGGACAGATGTGTTCATGACCACTTATATATTTACTTTGATTCATTCACAGTGTGGTATAATGAGACAATAACAGGCTACAGATTTTCCCTCTCTGTCTGTGTCTGTGTATTCTCTTGTTCCGATTAACCCAGCCAAATCTTTTTTCTTGTTTTGTATCTATATCTACGCCGGGATCCGGAGTCAAGGCTGATCCTCTTGCTGTAGTCCTGTGTCTTTGATCCTCTATCCTGAGTTCTGGATTAAGTCTTGGACTTCGGGTCGTGGCTGAACCTGTCTCTGCGGTCCTGCCTTGGGTCTCGCCATGCTGCTTCCCTGATGGCTTCCACAGGATTGTAGCTGACATCCTCGTGGATTCATCTTCTTATTACAGACACATGCCTTTCCTAACATTCGGTCTATATGCTGTAAAATGTATTATCTCTTCGATTTACACACGGCATCTATTGCACGTCTGTCCGTCCTGGGAGAGGGATCCCTCCTCTGTTGCTCTCCCTGAGGTTTCTCCCATGTTTCCCTTTAAACTGTGGGTTTTCTCTGGAAGTTTTTCCTTGTACGATGTGAGGGTCTAAGGATAGAGGGTGTCGTTTTTCTCATACTGATATTCTGAACAATCTGTGCTGTTGTATTTGCTGTAAAGTTTCTCTACTGTAGGCTATTTTTATTATATGTACAGCACTTTGGCTCGACCAAAAATCGTTTATAAATGTGTTATACGTCAACTGTCTGTATTGACCATTCTGTCAATTTTATTGACAACTTTAACTTTTTCTGGGACCGCAGACATCTTTTTAAGGCAAATGGAGTTTGTCTGAACAAGTCAGGAGTGAAATTGTTTATCTCTAACGTATTCAACTGCGTCATCAATCTGTTCCCTTTGCCAAGGACAAGCAACAAGAGGAATCAAAACAAGAGAAAGACACAACACATCGCTCAGAAAACCTTGAAAATCTATCACTGCACCCGCCTGAGGAATGTCTTGATTATGGGAGATAAATGGAGGAGTCTCCACCGCCCTTCATCCCCCCTATCACCTCTGAGGATACTCTTCCTTCACCCCACAGCTCTCTCTACTCTCCGTTCACCCTTTCACCCTCGCCCACCCTCCTGGAGATCGCTGAACACACAAAGGAGATACAGAGGGTTGGCACCGATTCCTTCCTGGAGTTCAAAGACCAAACTAAGGCGATACGCAGGGTTGGCAGCATGTCCTTTACCCCCGCTCCTCAACGACGCCCACCAAAATCACTGCAGGTGACGGACAGGATCGTAAAACTTCCGTCAAAATCCAGAATAACCCATCGGCCTTTACACAACTCTGACGAGGGGAGGGGAGAGGGGGGGGGGGAGAAAGCATGCTTGTGAACTGTCAACGGGGGGGGGGGGGGGGGGACAGTTCACATGTGCCGTGTTATGCATGGCTGCTGCACCTCGCGGGAGCGTGCACAGCGTAAAGCCAAAACTCAGACATTTCAATGATTTGTACGGCACAGTTAGGTTTGGAAACGGTATAATTTCCTTTTTGGAGGGCATGCATAACACCGGAGCCTCGCTGCGGGGAAACTTTGGCGCTGTTCCGAGTTTGTTGTAATCTGTCAAAATGACGGACTGCTTTCAGATTTGTCCGTCATTGTTAAAAAAAATCCGTCATAGACGGAAAATATTCGGTTAATGCTGAGCACAATCTTGATTTTATGTTTTTAACGGAAACATGGATTGAACAAAATAACAGTGCAACTGTTCTTATCGAATCAACCCCTCCCAACTTTAGTTTTATGAGTCAGGAAAGAATGCATAAGAGAGGAGGTGGAGTTGCTATTTTGTACAATGACTCCATTCAATGCAGGAAGACATCTTATGGGAACTTTGCTTCTTTTGAATATGTGGCCCTTCAGCTGAAATGCTCCTCTCGAGCTCTGTTCCTAAATATCTATAGACCACCCAAATACTGTGCAAGCTTTTTTGATGACTTTACTGAACTGCTGTCTATAGTGTGTATTGACTTTGATCATCTAGTCATTGTTGGTGATTTTAACATCCATGTTGACAACCCCCAGGACAGAGGGGCTAAAGAACTGTTTTGTGTTCTTGATAGCTATGGACTGACTCAGCATGTGACGGAGCCCACGCACAATAAGGGGTGTTGTGGAATATTTTCCAAGGCCCATAACTTTGACCCAGTGTATCAGTTCAAACTGTCCTGACTGAGCACAGGCACCTGTAACCTTGGCTGCTGTGCTCTCAGTGTTTTGTCTCCCTGTTCCTGCCTGTTGGCGTCAGCTGATAGAGGTGTTATCATTCTATCTTGTTATGCAGCATGTTGATGATGCTCTCTGTACTAGCTAAATACATGGGTCTGGGGTAGAGTTCTTCAGAATTGACGTGGCAACTCTACCGTGAAGTCAGAACCTCTGACTCTTGGACTTGTGATGTGAATCCTCCGGCCGTTAACTCCAAATAAACCATCATGTGTTTTGACATCAAAGCTACTGCTCCTACCGTGTCTCCTTCCTGAGTCGGTGACTCCCACTGCATTGCTACACAGAAGTTTCCTCTACAAGGGGCACACTCTGGACTTAATTATCTCAAAGGGTCTGAATATCTCTAAGGTTGTGGTGACTGATGTTGCACTCTCTGACCATTCCTGTGTTTTCTTTGAGAGCTCTATTTCTGTTCACAAAAATGTTCAAAAGAGGTAACCACAAAGCAATATTTAACTGAAAATACTAGGGAAATGTTTACTCAGAATTTTTTCTTCCACACTTGCCCCTGCTAACATCTCAGTAAATGAGCTAGTAGATCATTTTAATTCAAAAATTAAAAATGTTATAGATGCCATTGCTCCAACTAAGGTAAAGGAAGTGACTGGGAATAAAATATCTCCATGGAGAAAGGCCATGACCGTGAGAACAGAGAAAAAAGAGTGTCGAAAAGCTGAACGTAGGTGGCGAAAAACAAATCTCCAGGTTCACTTTGAAATCTATAAAGAGAGACTTGGCCTTTATAATTTGGAATTGAAAAACGCACGACAGTCTTTCTTCTCTGACATCATTACCAAAAACAAAAAACAATGCACGTGCCTTGTTTGCTACCGTCGACAGACTAACTAACCCCCCAGTGTCAGTAGCCTCTGAATTTCTATCCACAGGGCGTGCAATGATTTTGCCTCCTTCTTCACTGACAAAATTCAGAACATCAGACAAGCAGTCAGTGCCTCTGCATCAGGTACAGCAAATGTGTTGTCCCTATGTCCACCTAATATCAATTCAAACACCATGACACAATTCCATCAGATTAATGATAAAAACCTAGAGGATATTATTCAACTTCTGAAATCCTCCTCCTGCTGCCTTGATATTATTCCAACAGGATTTTTCAAAGATGTTTTTCGTTGCATGGCCTCAGATCTACTTCATATAGTAAACAAATCTCTTCACTCAGGTATTTTTCCACAGGCCCTGAAAACTGCAGTCATTAAACCGCTCTTAAAAAAGAATAATCTAGATGCTTCAGTAATGAACAATTACAGGCCCATATCAAACCTCCCATTTCTAGGTAAAATCATTGAAAAAGTTGTTTTTCAACAGTTGAGTAATTTCTTGCATTTAAATAACTGTTTCGATGTGTTCCAGTCGGGCTTTCGTCCAAACCACAGCACTGAGACTGCTCTTGTAAAGGTCTTCAATGACATCCACTTAAACACAGACAGTGGCAGAACTTCAGTGTTAGTATTATTAGATCTCAGTGCTGCGTTTGACACTGTTGACCACAACATATTACTCGACCGACTAGAAAACTGGGTGGGACTTTCAGAAACAGTTCTAAATTGGTTTGAATCCTACTTAAAGAACAGAAACAACTTTGTTTCTATAGGTAAATACAAATCTGAGTTGACAAATATGACAATTGGGGTACCTCAAGGCTCGATCTTGGGGCCTCTTCTCTTTAACATCTACATGCTACCACTGGCTCAGATAATGAAAAACAACAAAATAAGTTACCATAGCTATGCGGATGACACACACATTTACGTAACAATTTCACCAGGAGACTATGCTCCAATTCAAACACTGAGTAAGTGCATTGAACAAATTAATGACTGGATGTGTCAGAACTTTCTCCAATTAAACAAAGATAAAACTGAGGTAATGGTTTTTGGAGCCAAGGCAGAACGTATAAAAGTTAGCGCTGAGCTTCAGTCTGCAATG